AGAAAGTCCCTTCCATCCCATTTCTTTGTTGTTAAAGTGATGGGCGTTAATATGGGGTTGCAGGAGCGGGTTGGCCAACCTTCGAAACTCTCTGCAAAAGTTAGGTTTAGCATAAAAGCGTGCCTCTGGATTAGGGACCAGGGTGCTGTATATGCAGGAAAAAGCTGTGTATAGCCATCTTGGTGTGCCTGTATTGACTACACTGGTATAGCAATGGTCAGATTTGCTTTGAGCATGTTATAATAGTTGGCAATCAGCTGCTAAAATGGAATTTTTTTCCCAAGTACAGTTCAAAAGGAAAACACCCAAGCCCTGTTATCATAAAACTCTGCACGGACACTATTCACTGAAACCAACAGGCACGACGTCTGCTGTGTACAGAAGGGACTTCTGAGCGCAGGTTGATGCAAGTAGCTGTAACGAGTACTATAGGCTTGTAGTACCTTGTATTGGCAGTGTCCGTGCACTATATACAAAGGTTCAATGAACAGTGTAGCTCCTAAACTGTGCTGAACCGAGCATCATGTTGATAGGGGTTGAATACTCCTCAGATGCCAGTATAGACTAAGCATATGAATGGCAATTCATTACAACCTCCCCAACCATTTTATGCACTTAGTGAGTCTGTCACTTGTGAAATATCTCATTCAAGTATCCAGTTTATTCCTCCAAAATTACATTTTTAATATTCTTTATGTGCCACAAAAGGCTTTCTTTTTAGCATTTTACTCTTTCCACAGAAATTTGGCCTGACCCTCAGCTGAGAGCATGCCCTACCTTAAAGCTGGCCATACACTATACATTCTGATTGTACATTCTCCTTTAGATTTACCAAAACTATATATTATACGGACAAACCTAAACAATCTAAGTTTAGTTTAGTTTAGATTTAAAGGACATTGTACAGTCAGATAGTATAGGGTATCGTCCGCTTAGGGGCACGTATACATGGAAGTCTTTGTCAAGTTGCACAGTAACCACTACATGGAACTCTGTGCAGATTGCCTAATGTGAGGATAGCATCATTTGTGCACATGAAATATATTGACAAGCACCGGAGGCCGCCAAACGCATTACAACTTAATTATACAATACCTTAAAATCTTCCAACATATTGAGTGCAAGGGCCTGACTAATTGATTGATTGGATTGTTTAGGTAGGTCCTCATATTACATGGTTTTGGTTGATCTAAAGTTGCACAGAGATTGTATAACCAGATTGTAATGTGAATGCTGAGCCTTAGCATCCATCTTCTGTGTACAAATGATGAGCTCCACTTGGCGAACTTTGTGCTTTATTCCTGCTGCTGTACTGTGCTCTGCCAGATACTGCATAGATCAAGTCATATAGGTGGTACCCATGTGTAATAAGATCGTTGCTAGATATTTTTTTGTTACAGAGCTGCAAAGTGATCCACCAATGTGCTCTCAAACAAGCTTATTGGAGGATCATGTGCTAAAAAATTGTGGCAAGCAGCAGCTTTCCCACAATTGTACGTGCACCCTCTTAGTATCACACAAGGTATCATTGTATGTATAGCCTATCACTGAACCACATCCAGAGTTGCATCTAGGCCTGCTGCAGGTTCTTTTACCCATTGTTCCTAGTGGAGAGAGGTAATTTTAGGCTCTGGGACAAGATAAGAGCATGGCTCCATGATGGCTTAAACCAAACTGTCCGACCCAAGATTGTCACCCTGCTAGTGAAAGAATAAAGCCCCAATTGTTCCCCAGCGTTCTTCATGGAAGTAGTGAGTGATCAGGGTAGCATCTAATAAGGACTTATAAGCATTACATTTAAAAACTTCCCCTGCTGTTTTAATTGCAGAAGTGCTAAATTTTCAGAGCCTATAACCTCTAATAGTGTAAATAAATGTTTTTTGTAAGGAGTAGTTAGGCGTTACCAACATGCAAGAGGCTCTCCAGAAAAGAGATGAATTCTATCCCCTTAAAGTGGTCGACCACTGAGATAAAACCTTTATTAGAAGAGGTGCTTTCACAGATAGCTTTGAGTCTCCATGGAAGTACTTTCCTTTGCAACTATCAACAAGTCATGCTGATCACATTGTACTTCACAGACTGAAGAGCCTCTTTGAAGAGCTACCTCTTAGAATACTTAGAAATAGTTTACCTCTTGCCTGTGGAACTATTTTGAGAACAGTTGTAGCTGTGATCAATCTGCATTCCATTACCAGAGTAATTACTTTACTGGGAACACTAGATTCATTAATAGACTTGGAATACCCGTTATTATCGTGTTTAAAAAACCTTTTCACCCAAAACAATATTTCAGTGTTAAGTTTAAAGACCACCAATGTGATCCTAGTGTCAGGAACAAGCTCTCCATGTTGCAGTTATGGGTTTGACCCAAACTGGGGCTCCCATTTTGAAGTTCAGCATTGGTGTCACACTCTTGCTACTGAATTTCCCTTGTTATAGAATAGAAGAATAGGGAATCATGAAAAAAACAACGTATGTTGCATTGTTGTAATGTGCTCTGTTGAGGTTTGGAGATTGCATCACCAGAATCCTCAAAAGATACAATCAACCCAGAAAACAATTACCGTATATACTCGAGTATAAGCCGTCCCGAATATATCTGAAATGTAGGGATGTTCAGATACCAAGTACTGTACTTAGTACCAGTACAGATACTATTCCAGCTCCAAGACTAGACTATAGATAAATTTAAAAGTTGCAGGAACCGATCGTCTTCCAGTGAGTATGAGAGCAGGGATTTAAATGGCGTTTGAGTCCCTGACTCCTCCCACAAATACAGGCTAATAAATTAGCCTTCATTAAATATAAATCTATATATAAAATATAGGATGCACCTATACCTTTTTTTTAGACCAAGTACAAGTACTTGTCCAAGTCCTCACAGATACCAATTACTGATACATCTCTGTTTAGGGTCATGTGACAGTTTTTTCTAAAACGATACAGACTAATGATTTCAGGATAGTGGTTGAGCGCCAGGGCCAGGTCCCAGCTCTGACCGTGGTAGTTCTCGTGAAAATGCCAAGTTTCGGCACTGGTATCTGAACATCCCTCTGAAATGTAAGATTTATCTAATACATTAATAGAGAAGTAGGTTTTTATGGCTGGATCTATATCCTTAGCCAAGAAAGCACAAAATCCTCCTTCAGGTCAGAAGCGACCAGTAGCAGCCCCAACAAAGCTATTTTTCATTTTCTTGATGGAAGTAGAAAAAAAATGATTTTAAGATGGTTGTTTGTAGTTGAACTGTAGCGTCCATAAGCAGTTGAACCAAATCGTAAGTATACTCAAACAGCAGCAAACCCTTCTGATTCTGTCCACCATGGAGATCCATTCTCCTGGAGGAATGTTCAGACTTGGTTCTTCTTAAAGTCTCATTCACCTGGTCAGTCCATCAACCTGTCTTCATTGTTTTTGTCACAGAAATGTGTGATGAAACATCATTACCATTGGGTGCTACTGTTTAAAGAAAGAAGAAAAAGAAGTAAGTTTCACAAATTAGCCAATCGGATACCAGCTTTCAGTTAACAGTTTCCATTGTTGTAAACGGTTTGTGAGAGCTGGGAAAGGATTTGTTGTTGTAGGGTACAATTCCACTTTTTTTTTAATGTAAAATAAAATCCCTGGCGTACCAATAATCTAGGTCCACCAGTTAAGAAGTTCTCTAGCTAACAATCTGGGTAGATCAGTTGTTTTATTTGCGGCATAAATTAAAATCTGCCATTCCCACCATTTGTTAGCAGCTGTTGGGCCCTGAAGTTTGAAGTTTTTAACTTTTCTGTGACTGTCTAGCCCTGAATCACACCATGTCACACGTCCTTTTTCAATCCCTGTCTTTTATGTTGTCTCCGTGTTCTGTTCATGTCTACGCTGCTTTCAATGTAAGGGAGTCTGAATGGCTTCAGATTAGAAGGTCATCATTTGAAGAAAAAAACAAATCAAATTTCCAGGGGCACATTCATTACAATGCTTTTTGATATTGTACTTATTTTATGTGCATTTTTGGCATGCATTACTTGCCTTGCTCTTGGGTCCTTTTTTGTTTCTAGGTATTATTAGGACAAAGATCAAAGTCCAAATCCTTCCGAGCTCTTTCATTACATTGCGTGTTGAGTTTGTGCTTCAGATCTTTGCTTTTAGGCATTTCTGCCTGCACTACTATACTTAAGGTATATCTAAAGCACAACATTTTATTTCCAGTTTTGGAAAGATTTGGGTTCTATTTTTGTCTGTTTCCCTGCTGGGGAAATGCGTACTCTTGATTTGCTTCACCGACTAGTGACATCAGTACTGAAAGTGATGGCAAATCCAAAATTTTGAGTTGTCATCAGAATAAAAGCTTTCCAGTATGGAAACTTGTTCAGGTGACAATTGTGCAACAGGGAATTTCTCTCACATTTTTTTTTTCTCAGGATGAAAATTTCTTTGTTTATCAGTTTCCAAATAAAGAGCTGTCCCAGGCAGTCCATGTTGCCTTATAGAAAGCTTTGACAGCAGTCTTGAACTGAAGAGTGAACAATGTTTGCTATGGGGCAGCACAGACTGTCGGAGTTTGTTCTTTTGTCCGTTGTGTAAGGGTTTACCTTGAACATCCATTTAATTTGTATGCAATCAGATGGGTCCTTCTACTACCTAGGGGTTAATAAATATATATTAGATTGTACAATCCAAGCATAACCTGACAAGTGTAAGGTGTACAGAGGCCGTTTAACACTTGATGGAAAAAGTTTGTTTTGCATGAACATAGAAATTGGCTGTAGACCATCCACACGCAGTGCTTGATGTGGCATCCTGGGTGGAGAAAGTTCTAATCCACTTTTCATCTGAAGCCATTAAATAATATCCTTCCCCACTCTTTGTGTTTCAAGTACCTCTCCTTCCTTCAGACTTCCTTTCTTCCACAATTTTTTTGTTTGTTTGTTTTTTTTTTAATTTAATTATTATTATTTTTTTTTTTTACATTTCCCATGGTTTGTTTTTCTTCCCCCCTCCTTCCATAGTGCGGCCGAAATGCTGAGAACTTCGACAAGTTTTTCACCCGCCATCCACCAGTGCTAACGCCACCTGACCAGGAGGTCATCAGGAACCTCGACCAATCAGAATTTGAAGGATTTTCCTTCATTAATCCTGAGTTTGTACAACTAGAGATAAAAGACTGATGAAATGGTTGCCTGTGTTTCCCCTGGGTACCTACAACTCTCGGCTGTCCCACCGTAATCTTCCCTAGGTTGGCCTGGCCACACTGCTTGTCCCACCAAACCCCTTTACTTTGCGTTACTATAGCAGCCACCTTACGAAGTACTGTATGTCTGATCCAGCGTGCGTGACTAGGCCTCACTGTGTGTACAGAAGCCTGTTGTCTGTGTCTTGTGTGTTCATCAGTAAGCCAAAAGACAGAGGCTACCATGGTGGAGTTTTTGAAGGGATGGCTCTTCTTTTTACCCTTAGCAACCTAGCACATTGATCCAATTAATTCTCCCATGCTGCACTAGAAACATATAAGAAACACTGGGGGTATCGAGAAAAGTTTTTCCTTCACACTCATGTGGAGGCCTGAAGTGTGCACAAAGCTCTTGGGCGCATAGACTAAGTAGGACCTGAACACTTGCGGCTAGCAATGTAAGCCGATTTCCCCTAGGCACAAGAGGACTGTGAATTTTTTGGACAAGCAAGTTACCTACTATTTGTATATCTATATGTTGTAGCATTTGTTTTCCTGTCAAGTCCAAAGGATACAACAAGTATGGGTTCTACTCCTCATCTGAAACCTGTGAATTTATTTAACATTGAGATCAGATGTGACTTTGCAGTGCCCTAAGCATGTCATTGCTGGTTGGCTTAAAAAGAACCTTTTGACTAGTCTATGGACATTCAAATACGCATATATTCTTAACAAGCTTTAATTTAAGCCCTCATTGACCTCTTTAGCTGCAGGCAATATGGTGAAGTGCATTCTCATGTATCACTAGAGTCATGCAGACAGCTTAGCTCCCCCTCCCAGCACTTACTCAGTAGCCTTCTTATTTCTAATGCAAATTTGTAGGCCAGTTTTCGGGGGGGGAGGAGTATGGTGCACTGAACTGCTGAGTTACTACTGGAAGGGGGGAGCTGATACAGCTAGGAGGGGAAGCTGAGCTGCATAGTCACTAGTGGGAGTGGGGTAGCTGAGCTGCCATAAGAAGGATTGGAAAACATTAGTGCTGCTGCCCTGGAATTTAAGGATTAATTGCTTCACACTACCTGCAGCTACAATGAGGGCTTGTTTTAAAGCATATTTCATGCTTGTTAAGAATATCTAAATAACTGAAATGTCTATATCCTTGTCACAGGTTAATATATGAAGTTTACCTTTGTTAGAAAAATGGGGTCTGCCATTGTTGCTTAAAAATGCGAGCTGCCTAGCTTTATTGCTGATTTTTTTTGGCTGTAGTATGCTTTGAGTCACTGATCGAGATTAAAGCAGAACTACACCCTCCTAGTCAAGGAAGACGCCATCTTAGCCTTTATTTGGATTGAAGTTTCCATGGTGCTGCACATGCGATCAGCTTTGACACCAGCCATTTGAAGGCTTGAAAGATTAGGAGGTGAAATAAGCACACTGGCAGCCATGACAGTTGGTATACCTTAAAAGTAACTGTTTTGGGAGACATTAAATTGGTGGGTAAAGTTCCTTTTTTAAATGTACATATGAGGAAAGTAGCATTGTCATAGCAAAACATGGGGAGCTTACTTGGACTGATGACAACAGCAGTTTGGCTTGGCATCTCACAACTGTATAAGGAGTGTGTATGATTAGGGCACATCAGACAACAGTGGAAATACAGCTGGAACCTTCCTCTAGAAAAGTGCAAAACAGTATAGCAATTCTATCTAAAAGTGCTGCAAGCATCATAAAGGGTCACATTATATTGTCAAAACCCATCTTCAGGCAAACCAAAATACTACCATTGCATTGGGGTTACCCACCCTCATCACTGCAGGGGTTAACTGCCCGTTGATGCCTAGGGGGACCAGAGTGGAGCTCTTTTATTTAATTGATCCCTGCTCTTTCAGGGAGGAGTCAGCACTCGCCTTTCTCCTCTCCACTTCGGCTGTTGGAATGTCTCTTGGCATCCTCACGTCTAATGCAGGTCTATAGAACCTACATTAGACATGACGATTTCAGTGGTCCTTAGTCCTTAGACTGACAGAGCAAAGGAGAAAAGAGCCTGCTGGGACCAGTCTAGTAGCCTGGAGGGAGCCAGCAGGTACAGGGATTAGTGAGTAAAATAGCTTCCTCTTGTTCCCTAGACATAAAGAAGCACTTAACTGTTTGCATTGTGTAGGTAGCGCCACTGCAAGGGTAGTTTTTTATTTGGCCGGAGATGGGCTTTAACATTCTAAAAGAACTTCAATTATTTCATACAAAATGTTTTATTGTCTCCATTCCTCTGATCATCGGGCATGTGAAAATTTTAATTTTAAGTCCAGTTTGTATTGCTGCTCTTCTTTCTGATTATGTCTTAGCTAACAGATCTGATCTAAGAGAAAAGAAAGCACTCGGCACCCATGATGCAACGGAGGCTTTGTTGACACTCTGAGCTTTGGTGGCTATCAGCATGTTCTAGTAAAGGCAAGATTAACAAAGATACATAGATTCTAGGGGTACTAGTCATCAAAATTGCGTATTTGCTTTCCTGTCTCTTTTTCAATTAGGTTGGAATATTTACAAAGCATAGCCCTCCCAGTGTCTCTGTGTATTATAGAATTGGGATTTCCCAGGTTGCACTGCTCCAAATTCCTGTCCTCTGTAAGCCACAGCTGTGTTTAATCCCATGAGACTGCCAATTCCCTTCTGATATCTAAAGCTCTTTCCTCCTTTTTTTTTTTTTTTTTGCTATATGTTTTTTTTTTCTGAGTTACCCGGCACTCCACGTTCATATTTCCAAATGGGCCAAAACATATCGATGTCAGAGAATCCAGCAGATGCTCGTGTGTGCTAGACTCCCATCATCATCGTCATTTCTGCATGAGTGAAGGAGATAATGCACTAGCACAGCGAGTGCCCCAGGCTCCACTACAAATTGGCCATTCCGCATGTAGCCTTAGCCAAGCATTAACTCATTACCCTCTTGACGATCTGGGCTTACAACGGAGGGGAGCTTCTCTAGAAGCTGCTTTTCTGTGCCTTCCAGTTGGACTGGGAAATGCTTGATTGGGGTAGGTACGCCTGGTTTTACTGGGGAGTTGCCTGTCAAGAACTGCAGCCATACCAGCTTATTCAGTAGTACAAAGCACAAGATCTAAACCTGATCACCAAAATGTCACATAAGTTCCAACATTATATTTTAATGAAAGCTGAAGGTTTAAAAATATTGGAAACAAGTCTTAAGATTACATGAATTTCTGGTGATCCTGCCAGCCTATTGTGGCCCTTCCTGGGGTGACAGCTGTCTCGGTGGTGTGCCCGCATTGTTACCCTATCAGATGTACCCTTCATGGAGATTGCTAGTGGGTATCCTGTATTGCAGGAAAGTAGTTGTCATCATGATTGACATAAACAGAATAGCACATGTGATATTTAAGGATATTATAACATGGTGAGCACTTTAAAGGAGAACTATTGGGTTAAGGCTTTTCCCCATAGTTCTCCTAAGGGTAATGGGAGGACACAAACTAGCGTCCTCACGTCACCCTAAGCTCAGTATACCGCGAGCTACAGCTCGCGGTATACTGAGACGCCGCAGCCGGAACGGATCCCGACAATTCTGTCTGTATCCACCCAGCTGCGTGAGAGTCCTTGACCGTTCATTTTTTGTCTAGCAGCACGTTCCTGCTGGTGGTGCTGTAACCCAGCGATTAAACTCTCCACTGTGTCCCTCAATGAACATAGAGAAAGGGATTCTATGAGGGGTATAAAAAAAACTATTTTCTTTTACATTCATTGAAGGACATAGCGGAGATCCTGACCATTCGTTTTTCACCTAGTGTCCTATTTCTGCCGGTGGTGCTATAACCCAATGGTCAAGATCTCAACTGTGTCCCTCAATGAACTCAGAGAAAAGGATTTCATAGTGAGTACAAGGTGCTATTTTACATTCATTGAAGAACACGTTTGAGATCTTGACTGTTGGGTTATAACGCCACCTGCAGGAGTAGGACACCAAGTTAAACACTTACCAGTCAAGATCTTTGCTGTGCCCTTCGATGAATGCATAGAATTGGATTTTTTAGCAATTTTTTTTTAAATGCTAGGTTTTATGAAAAAAATAAGATGTTTAATATGTAGTGCTTTAACAATCTAAATGCCATTCAGTTAAAGTTCACATCTAGTTTAACTAGGGATGCACCGATACCGTTTTTTCGGTTCCGAGTACCGATATTTTTTTTTCGGTACTCGCTGATACCAATACCGGAAGTCCCATTAAGGAAGCCAGGCCGCATATAATGACTTGCCACCTGGCTTCCTGATTAGCCGGGCGGTGCGTAAAGACTCGCCACCCGGCTTCCCGATTAGCAGGAAAGCCGACTCCATGCTCCCTCTTCACCAAGTGATGAGAAAGCATGGAGCCAGCTTTCTGGCCAATCAGGAAGCCGGGTGCCGTGTTATGACGCGGCGCCAGGCTTCCTGATTGGCCAGGAAGCTGGCTCCATGCTCCCTCGTCACCAGGTGACGAGGGAACATAAAGCCGGCTTTCTGGCCAATCAGAAAGCTGGGGAGACGGGTAATGACAAGCTGCCCGGCTTCTTGATTGGCCGAGAAGCTGTCTCCATGCTCCCTCGTTACTTGTGACGAGATTTTGATTCGCTGGCTTCCCGGGCCAATAAGGAAGCCGGGCAGCGTGTAATGACTCGCTGCCTGGCTTCCTGATACCAGAAGCTCAGGTATCGGGCCAGGCACCTGAGCATTTGTACGAGTACTTGCCCAAATACTCGGCACCGGTATTAGTATCGGTGCATCCCTAATTTTAACCCTAAATTTAAGAAAATGACGTTTATAAATGTTACAATATGGCAGGGGCGTCCCGAGGCTGGGTGACACCCGGAGCAGTAACCGAGTGTCACCCCGCCGAGACGTCACTGCGCATGACGTCAGTATTCTGATACCTGCCGGCGGCCATCTTGGTGATGGACGCCAGCAGAGATAGGAGGGAACAGTCACCCGGCGGGATGAGGTATGCCGCCGGGTCCCCTCCTCTCTCCTGATACTGTCGGGCGTTCGGTCCATGACCGAGCGCCCGACTTTTCAGAGGGGGGGGTGACACCAAAATGACTGTGGGTAATTTTGGTGTCACCCGGGTGTGGGCTGCACCCCCCTGTGACGCCACTGACTATGGGAAAGTCCTCCTAATACCGTTCACAGCTCAGTGTGTCATGTGCAGGAGCTGCAGTATTGCAGAGGGGCAACATTGTTTTACTTTGTTGTGCATTCTGTTGGTCAGCAGCATCAGTGCAGCCATTTCTTATGTGTGACTTTTCATTTTATTTATCTTCTGTCCTGAAACTTACTTTGTCCATGAACATCATTAAATTAAATA